AATCAACTTTGTGAAATATTCCCAACTTCCAATGCTTCTTATTTACATTTAAAGAAAAACTGACTCAAATAAAATTGTTTGTTTTCTTTTTATTTTATAGGAAATAACATGCTGACAGTGAATCTCGTCATTTTTTTTTTAAAACAGATTAAAGTAATATTTACAATTGTCTTAAAATGCTCAAATGTAAGTTTATTTCATACCCAAATGAAATGTATAGACTGAATGTACTTATATATTAAATAATAGATTAACCCCTTTGTAGTAAAAACATTTTTTAACCCTGATTTTCTTGCCTATTCTCTCTTACATTTCCTAATTTGAGTATTCTCAAATTATTGATTACATAAGCAAATAAATTTAAGAGAAAACCATAATATATGCTGAATACCCTGAAATGAAATGGTTACACATGTAAGATGTGTGACAGGTCATGTAAAACTTTAAAGTCTACAAGATTTTAAGCTAACCATATTACACAATAAGACTACTTTTTAAAGTTATGAAAAATTCTCCACAAAAAGTTATTTATGCAAAAGATAAATGTTAGAGTATACTTTTTAAAATATATTTTACATGAATCAATCAAAGAACATAACAAATCATTTCTTTGTGGCTGTTTTTCTTTGAAACATCTGTGAACCAACTGTTTTGTCTTTTTGATACAAAAGCGTCCAAAAATCATTTGGAATAGTTATGTACTGTTAAAGCCTGATGCTCAGTTAAAACAGTAGAGATCATTTTAAGAGTTTCTGGTGTGTGTCCTATTTAGGAATTATTACAATGTAACAAAGATGAAACTCATAATTTGATTTAATCAGAAATGATAAAGTCATCAGGTTTCCGCATGCTTTGCTGTCACATCATGTACATTTACTACTCTACTGGTATGTCTTTAGTAGGAAAAAGGGAAATCAACAGAACTTAGCATTCCATATAAACAAAAATGAAACCTTTGATGAAAAAGAATTCTCTCCTAAATATAAAATGTAGATGAACTTCTTTCAAATTGGATGATGTCATTTTTACATGCCAAAAAGAAACTAATGCAACTAAACTAAAAAAGACAATCATTAAATTTTACAGAAAATAAAGGAAAATATCAAGACAGAAAGTCCAGGAATTGAAAAAATTCTACAGTTATCATCTAAAGATGTATATGTTTGGATTCATTTTAAATTCATAAGCAAATGATATGCTGCCATTCAATCTTTCAAACTTAAAAAAAATACTTTCTTTACTTTTGAATGAAGATCTAGAGGAGTCTTCCCCATGCAGATCTATTTATGAATGGGTTTTTTCCCCTTGACCTTAGTTCAAAACTTATATTATTCCAACCAGTCTTTATCTATGCAGTGATAATAAGATTTTTTACAGAATTCTTAGGTATTAGGTAGTAATAGTCTTTAAACATCCTTGGTTGTGCATTTGATTTACATTTCCAATTCTTTCCAAAGAATATGCCATGTCACCCAATATAACAGATATAAAGTCTCTAGGTTATAACAAAATGTTAAAGTTTCAACATTACAAAGCTCATATTAGTAATCTTACCAACTGACTTTTACCCAGAAGAAAAATGATCTTAAAATCTATAGAAAATCTCCGATTCATTCATAACTTATGATGTGAAGTTTGTAGGTTACAAATTATTTTCAAAAGTAGTTATCTCAATAATCGCATGCTTTGACCTTGACAAATGTGTCCTTTAAAACTATGTGTATAACTATAAGCTGTTATGTGTAGTAAGCATGAAGTATATGAGATGATAAAAATATTCAAGATATTGCATCACAGATTACTGGGTAACTGCATCTTGATGTGGGATACTAAGGGACCTTTATCATATTTCAAGTTTTAAATTTAAAAATAGGGTACAATACACATACATATATACACAAATACAATATATTTACAATTCCAGGAAAGTAATAATTACATTAAATCTAGCATCTGAATATCTGTGTAATTTCTAGGGGGTTATAGAAATAAGATGCAAAATAAAAGGTTTAAATGTATACTTCTCATACATAACAACAGTCTTCAATATGAATTGGCAAAAAAATAAAAGTCACATTTAAATACTCTGAAGTCCGTGAGAATTAATTTTTAAAGAGCCCATGCTATCAGAAAATCATATTTTCTATACTTATTACAAAATGTTGAAGTTATTGCAAGACTCATATCAGTTATCTCAGTAACTGGTTTTTCTTCAGGAGAAACATGATCCAAGATTTCTTAAGAAATCTCTTATTCATCCTATTCATTCTTCATTTATGTACTTATGATGTGAAGTTTGTAAGTTACAAATTATTGTCAAAGTAGTCTTCTCAATAATCTCATGCTTTGACCTTGATAAAGTGTCCCAAACAACAAAGTGTATTCCTCCAATCAGTCTTTATGTAGTAAGTATGAAGTATATGGGATGACAACAAATATTCAAGATATTATTGCATCACAGATTATGGGACACTTACATCTTTATGGGGGTCCTATTGAGACAAATTTTAAATTCAAAATTAAACATGATACATACACAAACAAAATATATTTACAGTTCCAGAAAGTTAAATAATACCATTAAATCCAGCATCTGGATATCTGTGTAATTTCTAGGGGGTTGTAAATATTAGATAAAAAATAAAAGGTTTAAATGTGTAATTCCCATACATAACAACAGTCTTCAATATGAATTGGTAAAAATAAAAGTTACATTCAGATACTTTGAGGTCCGTGAGAAATAGTTTTTAAAGAGCTCATGCTATCAGAAAATCATATTTTCAATACTTGATTTGACTAGATCTCAGTTTGATAAATGATTACACTTTATCCATAGTCAGTGTCTGACAGTGAAACATACAATCCTGGGTCCTTTCTTTGTCATCCTGTATAAACCACAGTCTATGATCGTACTGGTTAAATTCGATGGAAATCATATTTATGTTCTTCTTAAATCCTCCATCCTCTTAAGTTTGGTTTTCTTGTTTCAGTGTTCCAAGAGAGGATATTCTGTTAGTCTTTGCATAATCTGAGAGTCTTTTACCATTCTAAGAGTAGACATAGATCATTTCCATAACCTCTCACTAGAGAATCCTGAAAAAATAAAAAAAAATAATGTCTTAGTTGAAAAAAAAAAATTGTAATGTAATATAAGCTTGATGGAATTCTACATATAGACAAAAAGGGTATAAAAACAAGTTGTAACATAAGATTTTGACTTTTCATATTAACCATGGGTAACACCTCTAGTAAAGAAAAGAGTAAAGGAATGAGTAAAATTCAGTTCGGAGAGAGAATTCTTTCAGAGAAAGATGTAGACAGAGGTATACCAGTTAAAATAAAAAAAGATGGCACTATTGAGATCATTTCTCAAGAAGAATATAACCAATTATGTCCAGAAAAGGGTGATCCTAATGTTGTCAGAGATTACATAGAAAGACCCTTGATTGCAGAAGAAGCCAATGAAGAATATAACCATTTATTACCAAAAGAGGGTGAGAATTACTTGGATTACCCTGAAAGACCTTTGACTAGAGAAGAAGTCAAGTTTATAGATGATAAGAGAAAACAGTTGTCAGAAAAAAAAGATTGTTAAAGACACATGATTTTTAGCCCACAAAACCATTGGAGATACAAGGATTACAAGATACAAGGATTAATGGAGGAAGTCCAAACTGAACTCTTGGAAGACATTAAGGCTCATTATGAGAGTAACTTTCCAGTGTTTGTTTATTACAAAATTATGTATTCTGATAAAAAAAAAGAAAAGTTTTCACTTTCATTTGTTGTGCCTTTGACCATTTAAATTGACCTTATGGTTAAGATTGTGATATATACACTCTGATAATCATCTATGATGTCTCTATGATGTTTACCTCAAAAGATTGAATCAGGGTATTTGTGTTCAAAGAGCTGAAGAAACTATACAGACAGATCTAAGATGTTGGAAGCATACATATTAATGAGGTTAAAGGAGATATAACACTAGATTATTAAAAAGAAAGAACTCAAACTCATAGAAATGATGTTGAAAGTACCTTTTATGAATAAAGTGTCATGCTCCAAGGTATTATTTTTATAAACAGGAGAAGGTTTACAGCAGTCCCATACACTCATAAGAAGATCTTGGGTAGTAGAAACACCAGGAAATTTTATTTCCACACAATCAGATCATCTTACATCAGTTATAAGGTTACAATCTTTATACATAGTCAAGAGGGTCATTAAGATTTCTTTTCTGGTCATCCTAATGAGCCACATTATAGTATTCTTTCTCTTTGATAGAATGTTAATATTAAATGGAAAATTCAGAATTCATCAGCAATTGAAGCCAAAACTTCCTATCTTTACCAATTATGCTATTAAGGAAGCTGGGGGTTAACAAATTAGCCATATTTAACTTATTCTATAAAAATGCTATCTTCAGCTGTTAACTATCATTTGGCAAAGAAAAATTTCATACATTTTAGTTTTAAAAATTTGATCATGAATTTTTATGCCTTTTCTTCTTCTTCTAAAGGATATCAATAGAGTTTAAACATGACCATGACCACCAAGCCCTCTTTACTTAAAAAAATCATATATCATTTACTTATCAATTCAAAAATATAAAATGCATATGTAAATAAATAAATAAATAAATAAATAAAAATTACAATTGTATCTCATTGAAACTTTACCTTCAAGTTTGTGTGTTTCTATGTTGATTGACTAACTGTGCATTTCCAAGGGAAGAGCAGACAGTCTGAACTTCATAGAGAATTGATTACAGATGGTTAGGAACAAAACATATCTTCCATGTTGATGACTGTAGAAATAAAACCTATATGGATTTTTCTTTAATAATCATATAGGAGGTGAGGTATCATTTTGTAGACTCAGTGAGCTACTGCGACTTCTCTTTTTTCTACTGTTTTTAAAAGCATAAATCTGTGAGCCAAAAAAGTCACTAGTACATGTCACAATACTATTAGATTCAATTTCGATATTTGTATACATATTGATGATAAATTTTAATTTAGAGACCATGAAAACAATTGCTGTCAAGGATTTTTCTTTGAGGAAATTTCACATGAATGCAAAGGTATGTAGAAGATATAAATAGAGTCAAAATATGTTAATACAAAGGGAAACGCAATGGAGTTAATTTTATTTCAAAATGTCCCAAAAAGCGAATTCAAATTAAATGTATTAAAGTCTAAGATGCGGCTATTTGTTTGTATATTTCACCAAGAAAGAATAATTAACCACTTATTATGTTGATTATAACTATATCCTCTATAATTTTTCATTTAGTTTAGTATTCTTGTTTTGCGATAAATCAATGAAAAAAATTAAAACTTTTTAATCTTTAAATGTTTCAAGATGTATATTATTGGACAGCCTATGTCTTTAATCTCTGCTATTTTGGGTTTGCACCGAAGAGATAATAAATCTTCTACTCTCATTATTTACCAATATATTTGATTTTAATTCTCCTTTATTCAAAGAATGTCCTCCAGGGTACATCGGCGTCAACTGTTCAATGGCATGTCGGTATCCAGGGTATGGCAAATATTGTCAGGAACAATGTAACTGTTCACAGGAGTTGTGTGACGTATCAACAGGATGTCTCTGTAATTATCAAAACAAAAAAAAAATACTCTATTGTTAAATATAGTTGTATATGATAATATAAATATTGTTTTAGTAGGGTATATCAGATGAACTTAACTGTCAGTGATCTCAATGTTTTCGTCAAAATTAAAAAAAAAATGTCGGGTTAAATTAATACAATATATTTTTTTTATTATTTTATGCCCTGGATATCAAACAAAGGTTTTAGTACAATCCTTTATGAATAAAAAATATATACTAACTAATCATTTATTTTTCAATGATAATCATGCAGGCCTGAATCTCGATCCACTCAATGAAGAAAAAGTGCTCCAGGAAAAAAAATCAACAAAATCTAAGGATGAGAACAAAAATTTGAATATAGAGTCCAAAATAATACCAATTTTGATCAGTATCATAGCTTTCTTGGCATTCCTGCTATTCACTATTTCTGGACGATTAATGTGGAAAAGGGTTAAACAGGTTAACCCTAAAATTGTACAAAGACAACAGGAGATTAAAGGTCTTGAGAGAAAAATAAACAAAACAAAGGAAAATGAAGAAGCAAAGGAAAACTTTTACGAGGACATTGATGGGCTAAAAGCAGGAGAGAACAGGAAAGACATTTTGTCTTCTGAAAATAATTACATCGACAAGCTGAATTTCGTTGAAAAAGAAAAGTCTGACAATCCAGAAATGAATCATTTCTACGATGCTTTGAAATAACAAAATACTATTCAAAATGTTACTTGTCGAAAAAGTATCTAACATAATAGTTGTAAGCAGATAACTTAATAAAAAAATTCCCCAAAAAAAAGCAAAACAACTGCTGTGTTATACATTAAGCATGTCATCATAAAGCTCAAACCTGATTTAAGAAAAATGTTATTTCCTTTACAATTATATTTTTGACGTGCATAGATATTAGCTATGATAAAACCATAGCTACATATTTTGGTCACACCTTATGTCCGCGAGATATACATTGAATTTTGTCCCTTTCTTCGTGTGACATCATTTTTACTTCCTTGAGATAACTGCTACATGTAATCTTTAGGAATACTTTTAAAAGCAAAAATAATATTTTTTGTGCATATCGTATTATAAGGAAAAATAGTTATGATGAACAAAAAAATATTCTCAGTACACGAAAAAAAAAATCTTGGTTTTCATCTACTTTCCACTTCAAATTAAAAAAAATCTACTTACATGTATATGAATCCTAATACAATGTATATGATGTTAAGTGTCCTCCAGAAACAGGATGTAAAAGTTAAGAACCCCCCCCCTTTTTTTTAGAACTTCACAATAAGATTGGTGTAACATGCTCTATGAAAAAAAAAAAACATTTAAAGAACCCCCCCCCTCCCGAAAAAACCCTATTTTATTGTAAATAAAAACATTTTTGACAGCAAATTTTTGTAATTAGATACTGTTGTCATTATCATATATTCATCATTGATAACATAAATAATCAGGGGTCTTTAAATTAGCCACCAGACATGTAGGTAAGGGGCATCATTTATTGTTGGCATCTGGTAAACAAAAACACAAGTCAACAGATGGAATTTGCAGCCTGTCATGGCAGGGACACTGTGTATGCAATAGCCATCATGGTTAATCTAATTAGCTAATTATCCGATAAGATCAAAGTTCACTTATACTGAAATCTTATCTTAGTCAGAGAAATCTCAATTATTCACTTTTTTGTTTTAACAGCTGCTGGACGCACCTAAATTTTTACAAGAATTAAATTTACCCACCCACCATCACCCTAAAATTTTATTTATGTAAAATCAGCTATCATAAATTACAAACAAACTGTACCTCTTTGTTTTCGTTTTGTTCATTTATTATTGTTACATGTATATTTGTTTTCCATTTTACAAATCAAACACAATATTCAATTAACACCTGTGTTTCAAATTGTAATTTTATCATTCAACCCGTGTTTTAAATCATAATTGTATCACATTATTTTTTATTCATGTTAGTACAACCCCCCTTTGCAAAGAGGTAGGGGCACCATGTGCGAAAATCGGCCCCAAATTTTTCGAATTTTCAAAGCTAGTTAATAAAATCGACTTTACTTATATTTCACAGTTTACCATCATTGCATTCCACAAATAGCAAAAGTTCGGGAGATTGACTACTTATGACGTCATATTTGTGACGTAAACCTGACGTAATTTGGCAAAAATCATCAAAATCTCATAATTTTTGCCATAAATTGATTAAAAAAAATACTTCCGCACACACCCACCAAAACAAAATTTCTTGTAAATGTTCATTATTAACAAATCTATCAACAATTGAAGTATCGTATTGGTGGAGGCCTGCGGAGCATGAAAAATCGATCGATGAACGAAAAGCTTTCCTGTCATTCCAAGTAATCAATTATCATAATTTACATCAATATAATTTCCAATAGATATGATATTGTGTTTTTATATCACCGTACATATTTTAAAAACATGTTTTAATATATCTACTAATAAATGTAAGAAATTGTTATCAACTTAGGACATGGTAGCTGAAATATGCTGTGATTTTGGGTATAATAATTCCAAATCAGTCCGAATTTTGCTACACTCACGCAGTCATTTACCTTATATACCGCTGTACCTGGCATTACACATGCACACCTGTGTCAATCCAACCTTTATTTTTAAACAGAATGGTTTGTGAATATCACATGCAAAAATAAAAAGGCATAATGTATTAATTAAACTCTAGCTTCAACAATATCATTCATAATTTGCTACCCTTTTCGAAAATCAACTCGTATGAAAACGATGCATTGGACTTCCCATCGAAGTCGTGACGTTTTTGCCTAATCAGTTGTGATTTGTTGATGGATAAAAAATAATGAATTAGGTTACGATAGAATGAACTTCCAAGAACATTATCTGTTTGATAACACCTAAAAATATAAAAAGTTATGACTGCTATTGTACCCCACTCCCTACAGTTTGGTATTATCCATTTTCGAATCACGTGTACAAGACTGCAGCTGAATTAATTGCTCATTCTGCACACACAATTTATTTATATACAATGTTCTATACGTGTAATAAATTAATATTGGTTTCTTTAAATGCAACTTAAAGGGTATGTAAGTAACGTTTTTATAAAACAAAGCGAAAACTATTCCAAAGTCAAAACCGGGTTAATATCGGTCAGCGTCAGTCATGTAAATACCCCCGTGTCGCCCCCCTTCTGTCTAATGCGCCGATTTGTCGAAGATATCTTGTTCTATTATATGAATATGATTTTTTTTGTCAACTGGGACCATTGGCTTTCATATATTAAATATACTGAATTCTGCATCTTAATAAGTATTATATAACATTCACAGTTAAAATAAAAAAGATGATTCGAAATAAAATGAATGTACCTGTAAATATTTGATCCACACACCACATTACAATTCTGCGTGTAATTAGTCTTTCATAAAAAAAAAAACTTAAGTAAACAGCGCAACAATTGAACACAATTAAAACAAAATGATAGTAAATCAGCATGTGCTTTTCTGTTTATAAAAAAGAAATTAAAAAAGTAATTTGAGCGGAAATAAATTGGATGCCGTGGAACCCTCCTCGAAAACAGATAAACCTCTATGTGAAATGACTATGAAAAGTCAATCATTGAATGTGGTATAAGTGATTGTTGATTGAATGTTGTTTACATTAACCATTTGGAAATAGTTTATACTTAAAATAAAAGATAACAGTGAAATTTCAACTCACTTGTACATTAAATGATATTACGAAAGCCCAGTGAACTCATTTTCGTAGGTAAAAAAAATAAATTTTTCGCGTTATAACGCGAAACTTTCGCGTTATAACGCGAAACTTTCGCGTTATAACGCGAAACTTTCGCGAATAAACGCGTTACTTTCGCGTTATAACGCGAAACCTTCGCGATATAACGCGTAACTTTCGCGTCATAACGCGAAACTTTTGCTGTTTAACGAGACATTTGCTTTAGTCTCAACGTTCTTTTGATTTTGTCATCAATTTTATTCATTTAATACAATGATAATCAAAAGGCTATTTTGATCTTGGACTATCACAAGTTAAATTTTAAGCTTTCTTGCTATTGAATCCATCTTAACCGTCACAATTTGTCTTTCTCAACGCTGTTCAACCAATTCAAAGTTTATGCGAGTTCCAAAAGTTAAACTTCAAGCTTATTAATTTCGGGGAAAATCACCCCTTTTCCGTTTTTTTTATGCACTCTCTAGAGAATTTGAAATAATTTCATTCTATAGAGATCAAGATTTCAGAAAATTGTCAAAATGAGGTAAATTTGTCAATTGTGTTCCACCGCATTTGTGAAAATTGGATAGCAGATTTTCATTTGTCTTATTTAGATTCACTGTGGAAATTAGATATCCTATTTTGAGGTTGCACCACGTTTTCATTCCATTGCTTACGAAAACATTGACAATTCAAAGTGTACAAACTCTGCTGTATACCTTCATAGTTTTTATTTATGGCTAGTCCACGAATTTCTCTATTACCCAATATTGGAGACAATGAAATTATACATTGTTCATTCACTTTTAAGTTATGTTTCTACAGTGTATAATTTTTTGTCCAAAATGATTGGTTGCTTAATTTACTAGTGGTACAGTTGAAGTAAATGTTACTGATTAAAAAACAGCTAGAAAAAATGTGAAATGGAGATTTTCCTTAAGAAATAATCAGTCTAAAGAATTTAACAATTGAAAAACATGTACAAGAAAGTAAAATTCATTTTATTAATTCAATATTAAGATTTTTAAAATAAAATAAAATATTCTGATGACTAATCTATCCTATTCTGGCATAATATTTTTCCGCAAAATAACGTGAAAGTTACGCGTTTATTCGCGAAAATTTCGCGTTATAACGGGAAAGTTACGCGTTATATCGCGAAAGGTTCGCGTTATATCGCGAAAGGTTCGCGTTATAATGCGAAAGTTACGCGTTTATTCGCGAAAGTTTCGCGTTATATCGCGAAAAGTTACGCGTTATATCGCAAAAGTTTCGCGTTATAACGCGAAAGTTACGCGTTATAACGCGAAAGTTACGCGTTTATTCGCGAAAGTTTCGCGTTATATCGCGAAAGTTACGCGTTTATTCGCGAAATGTACGCGTTATAACGCGAAAAAAATTATTTTTCTTACCTACGAAAATGAGCTCATTGGGCTTTCGTATGATATGAATAAATGGAATGTTGTATTTAAAAAAAATCAGAGACATTCTTTTCCAAGGATGAAAAATTTTATGTAAATCAGATAGCTATTAATTATGTTCCCCAAACGAAGTTGGGGATCATATTGTTTTTACTCTGTTTCTTATTATTATTATTCTTATTAGGGTCTTCCGTCTCCAACGGAAGACCCTTCTATTAGTCTATTGTTTTTTTTCACTTTTATTAAGGTCTTCCGTCTCCAACGGAAGACCTTCTTGTTATTCTTCGGTTTCTTTTTCCCTATTATTATTATTATTATTATTTTTCTTACCGATTTTGTGCACGCGATTTCTCGTTAACTACTGGGACGATTCTCATGAAACTTTCACATCTGATAGGTACTGATCTGAACCTTATTGGAAATTTTTTTCGTTGACGCCGTCACTTCCGGTCGTGAGATATGGACAATTTCCTGATTTTAAAGTGAAATTTTGTCTTGATTTAGTAGCGAAAACTGCTTAAGATATGAACTGAAGATTAATTGGAGATGATAGTTCATGACTTATAGCGTTGCAGAATCGCCTTTTCGTGCGTCGTCATTACTTCCGGTCGATACCGGAAACGAATTTAAGAAACGCAATTTTTCAACTTTTCGTTTTTAATATTTTTGTTTTAAAATTGAATAAAGACCCTTTTGCAGAAGCGAAATATGTAATTTGTTTGAAAATCGAAAAAGCCAATCTCGAGATATATGCATTTGAAAACGCGAAGCGGCGATCTCAATGGCCAAATGGTTAGCGCGTTGGATTGTCACGCGGGCGACCCGGGTTCGATCCCCCATGTGACCAAAAAATTTTATCATTTTTTCTGCTCGATTTTTCGATATTTTTAAATTTTGAACCAATTGGAACAATATATTATAAACTTTTAAGCATATCTTGCGTAATAAGGAGTCACAAGGGGCCAGAATATCACATCTTTGACGCTTTATATCTCAAAAAGGGGGAATATTTTGATAAGCAATATTGAACAAAAGATGGTCAGAATAATGTTCTAAACAATATGCATACTTTGAATTTTTGTAAAACGGCCCCATTAAGGACTTGTAGGAATGGCCCCTAAATATTTTCATTGAGCATATCTCCACAACGAAAAGAAATCTCTGAATAAGTGTTGAACAAAAA